AAAAAAATTAGTTAATAATTTTTCAAATTAAACAACTTTCTCGAAAGACAAGTTGCATTTTATTTTATTTATATAAAAAATTTAATTCACAGAATATTCTCACTCGTAGTCTCATAATGACTTTAAAAACAGTATCCTGAGAATATCTTCTTGACATCCAGAAGATATACTGAGAATATCCTGAAAATATCTGTGGGATATCCTGCCGATATCTATGGGAGATTTGGAGGACATTTATGAAAGTCTATAGAGATATCCAGAAGATATCCTGTGGATATCCTCAGATATCCATGGGATATCCAAAGGATATCCAAACCGCCGATTTTTTTGATACCCTTAAGAGATCCTTTCGATATTCATAGGACATCCCTAGGATATCTGCGGGATATTATCAATACATCCCAAGATATCTTGTGTTATTTGGGATAAAATGAGTTTTTTTTTTTTTAATATGTTTTTGACTTTTTTTTTGCCCTTTCTTCAGTGCGCGACACAATATATAATATTATAAAATAAAATAGTAATTTTTCATATACATAAATGTAAATAATGGAGTTTAATTCATTTTGACGAATTCTAGAGTCAAAAGGACTTGTACCTCATTCGTCAACGTAATTACAGTTGGCGATTTGTACGATTATTTATAACGGCGCGTGACGAGAGCCGTCAGGAGCGAAGAAAATTTATGTCTCGAGTTTAATGTCAGGGTGAGGACCCCGCCTACCTCTTCAGTTCGTCTTCACTCGCTTGTGCGCAAAAAAAAAAAAAAAAAAAAAAAGGGGGGACACAAGTCATATAATATATAAAACAATAAGAAATACTTTATTATCTTTTCTCATAGTCTTAAAAAAAAAAATTATTTCAATTATTGTTGAGAAAAAAATTTCAATTTTAAAATAAAAATTCAATTATATAATAAGAAAATGCTTGGTCTGTCCTTCTGTCCTAACTTGAAGTTGGCCTTTTCTGATTTCACGTGTTTTTTTTGAATAGTAATCTTATGACGTGTCAAATTTTGACAATTCTTTTTCTCATTTTTGCCAAAGTTGTATAATTGTGTTTCCAAATTTCGGAATAAGTTTCTTTAAAATTCCAAATTCGAAAATTCAATTCACGAAGCTGAAGTACACAACGTTTACCAACGAAATTTTTTTTAAAGTTGTATATTGATTCAAAAATTGTATACAAATACAAAAAATTTATGATGAGAAAAAAGATGCGCTAGGAAATTTCGTACAAGATAATAATTTGAATAAAAATTTATTTTTAAAAATTAATTTTTAAGGTACCAGGGGCCAACAAATACCTATTAAATATTAATTATAAAAACACAGGCCTCGAATCAACTTAAAGACACAAAAAAGTCGTTTTAGTCGATTTATATTCCAAAAAAAAAGTGGATTTGTTTTTTATTTTAACAAAAATATTTTACAGATTTTTAAATAAAAATTTTTTTTTTTAATAATAATCCTTTTCGAAGGGTTAAAGTTCAAAATTTTCAAAAATAATTAAATTTCAAAAGATATTGTTAATTTTCAAACAATTATTAAATTTTACAGAACTAAAAATAATTTATCAAACAATTTTTGGAAAACATTTTTTCAATTTAATTGAATTTTCAAAGATTTAAAATTGAGATTTTTGAAATTAATTGAAACTTTAAGTGTTTTGTAATTAAAATTTTAGATAATTTCACTAAAAATTTATTAGAAAATGCGAACAAAATACAATAATTTGAAAATCATTTTTAATTGAAAAATTGGTTTCAGATAGTTGAATTTTCAAAGAAAATTATTAAAATAGTTAAAAATAATTGAATTTCCTTAGAGTTATAATTGAAATTATTAAATTTCAAAAAAAAAAAATTTCGATGGAAAATTTTAGAAATAATTAACTTTTAGATGCTATTAAATTCAAATTATTGAAAATTCAAATAATTTTGAATTTAAATTTTTGAGAATAATTAAATTTTATTTGATTTTAAATTTGGAAAATAATTGAATTTTAATTCATTTTGAATTGAAAATTTTGGGAAATAATTGAATTTTATTTCATTTTAAATTGAAAACTTGGTAAATAATTAAATTTTAAATTGAAAATTTTGGATAATTATTGGATTTTTAATTGATTTTGAATTAAAATGTCGGGTAATAATTGAATTTTAGTTGATTTTGAATTGAAAATTTGGAAAATAATTGATTTTTAATTGCAAATTTTGAAAATAATTGAATTTTAGTTGATTTTAAATTGAAAATTTTGGTAAATAAATGAATTTTAATTGAAATTTTGGATAATAATTTAATTGAAGTTCATTTTTGATTGAAAATTTGGATAATTAATTTTAAATAGAAATTTTAGAAAATAATTGAATTTTTTTTTAATTTTAAATTGAAAACTTGGTAAATAATTAAATTTTAAATTGAAAATTTTGGATAATTATTGAATTTTAATTGATTTTGAATTAAAATTTCGGGTAATAATTAAATTTTAGTTTATTTTGAATTGAAATTTTTAAAAAATAATTCAATTTTATTGTGATATTTTTTTTTAAATTATAAACAATTGTTAAATTTCATAAAAATTTTAATTGGAAAATAATTTTGATATAATTGAATTTGTGATGTATTTCATTAAAATTATTAAAAATAATTAATTTAATGAAGAATCATTTTAGTTCAAAATTTGTTAAAAAATTGAATTGAAGAAGATCTGAAGAAGATCTACATTTTATACTAAAAAAAATGTATTTTATTTACATTTTTTTTCAAATGTAAAAAAAATGTCGCATTTTATTAAAAGAAGTCGATAAAAGTCGTATTTTTGAAAAAAGTCGAAAAAAGTCGTATAATCCGAGTCCTGTATAATTTTCATTTTTATCATTTAATATGTAATAATATTCTAATAAATTAAATTATTATTGATAATATTAATCTTTAATTTCTTTATAACAAACAATTAAATACTCAATTTGATGCGCTTGCGCGCGTTTAATTTTGCTAGTTTTTAAAATAAAAATTCAATTTTTAAAACAAATTTAATTTTTTAAATATATTATCATTTTTTTTTTTGTAAAATATAAAAATGAGGAAATTGTTTTGAATTCATAAATTAGAATCACATTTTTTTTTTTTTTATAGAATCCATAAATATGTTATTTTATCGAGTATATGGAAACTATCTTCAAAGCAATTTCCTCGATTTCCCACGCTTCGTTTAATAAACTGAGACCGAAGAAAATAGAAAAGGATTTCTCCTTCCATCGAAATAAAGAATCTTCTATTTTTCGAGTCGAGTTTTCTCTATGGAGAGGGAGGGGGGCACAAAACTTAAGAAACGAAGTTGGCCAAATTGTACAAATTGTGAATGTACTTCATTGGCTTGTCGATATCATACATCGATTGATAAAAAAGATATCTAACAAAATTTGTGGATTCGTTTACGTTCAATGCATTAAAAGCAAAAATGCGGATTTTCAATTTTCTCGTAGACAATTGAAAACAATTACATAAAGTTATATTATATATATGGTTAAAGATTTTCTTTTTATACGAATATAACAAAAAAACATAACAAAATTTTTAGCTAAGGAATATTTGTCAGAATTTTTATTTTACACTCATTTTCTTTACGACTTTTTATTTAGGAGAATTTTAATTTTGAATTTTAATTTTGAATTTTAATTTAGAATTTTAATTTAGAATTTTAATTTAGAATTTTAATTTAGAATTTTAATTTAGAATTTTAATTTAGAATTTTAATTTAGAATTTTAATTTAGAATTTTAATTTAACAAAATTCTCATTTAATCGAATTTTATGTGATTTGAATTTTTTAAATGACAAAAATTCCAATTTACCGAATTTTTATTTATACAAATTTTTAATTATTCGAATTTTGAAGAAGTCGAATGTTAATTTGTCCGAAAATACAAATGACCAAATAAACAATGGACAGAAAAAAATTCGGCGCAATTTTCAAAAATTCATCAATCACAATTTTCTTGATAATTTTTAAAAATTGGAAATTTTTTAAAAAATGCGCCAAAATATTTATGTCGATTGTTTGTTCGGACATTTATAATTTCGGCTTTTTTAAAAATTCGTACAAATAAAAATTCAATTGAATGAAAATTATACTAAATAAAAGTTCAAAATTAGAATTTTTTTTTTTTTTAAATAAAAATTTTATTAAATAATTTTCAAATAGAAAAAATATTCTCGCTATTTATTATTTTGTTTTGTAAATAGAAATTGAAACAAAAAAAAAAATTGCATATTTATCATATTCACATATGTGAAAATTTTTTTCAATGATACTCTTTAATACCATATTCCCTAATGTGGCACAAGGAGAGGGGTAAAAAAAAAAGAAGTAGCACCTCTCGGTATTTACATTTAGGTAAGAAAAAATGGCAAAAAATAGGAAGCTGGGCTTTTAGCCTGATTAGTACGCAAAGGGGTAGAATATATCCCTTAGAAAACTGAGAACCAACTATACTTATACTCATATACATATACGATAAACCTTTCAAAATATCCAATTTTTTAATCGGAGAAACACAGAGGGAAATATTTATTTTTAAAAAACCAAGGGAATTTTAACGGAAATTGAATAAAAAATTAAATAATTATTTTTAATTTTTGTTTCAATTTGGCAAAAAAAAATAAATAAAAATTACTCACATTGAATCCGCTTTTTTTTTTGAGCGCAAAGAAGCAAAATTAGTTGAAGAGAAAAAAGTATGAGAGATGAATGTGATTTGTGGTTGGAGAAATTCGTTAATGGTTCAAACACGACGAGATGCTTTCTTGGGGTAAAGAGAGTGAGAAGGGGACACACAGTTATATAAGTGAGAAGGCATTGGTGGGCAATCGTGCGGTAGACAAACGACATCATTAGTGATGTAAATTGCATTTGTTTTTAGTAGGCGGGTTTTCTCTTTGCATCCTCGACCATCGCGCGTCATATATGTATCTCTATCTCTCTCTATCTCTCTCTCTCTTTTTCTCTCTCTGCGGACCTTTTCTCTCCTCTTCTCATTCCCATCTTCGCTTATAACTTTCTCATTCTCCTCTCGCGAGTCACACTGTAAAACGGAAAACATTTCACATCATGCCTTATCTAAACGACGAGCAATTAAAAAGTGCTTGATACAAATTAGTCTACATTACAGCTCATTAGCTTTCATTTTCCCCCTTCAGTATATTATTTGCAACAATTTTTTTTCATGGCAATTAGAAAAGACACTTTTTCCACCCTCAGAAAATAATTCAGGGAATTATGATTTAATTACGATTTGTCTTTTTTTTTTTTTAGCTAAGAAACATTTTTTGTATCGAACTGTATATATATATATTTTTTTTCTTAATAAAATACATATAAAATATTTCGCAGTCATAGAAAGACAAAAATCTCTATGATCAAAAGGCGATGAGTTTTTTTGTACCATTTATCATAGAGAAAAAAGAAAAAATAAATTACAATTTAAATTTACTGAAGGTCCTGCAATCAGTACAATGATGCACAAAATCAAAAAAAAAAAGAAAAAAAAATGAACAACTTACATTCTATTTCAGGGGAAGGGGGGATAGAAAAAAAAATATTATTCTCTATCGGCAAATTCCTGACTAGCCAAATCGTAGAAATGGGAATTTGTATTCTGAAGTAGTATATTTGGTTCCTCAAATTCTAGCACCTCTCCATCACCCATAACCAGGACTCTGGTAATTAAAATTTTATTATTAGTTAACTATTTTTTCTATTTTTAAATTAAAAATTATTCACATACCTATCACAGTGCATTATTGTTCTGATTCTATGTGCAATTGTAATAACAGTTGCGCTTCGAAATGAAGATTTAATTGTCGCTTGAATTGCCTTATCAGTCTCATGATCAACATTAGAAGTTGCCTCGTCAATGCATAATATCTGAAAAATAAATTAAATTCATTTTTCCCCACTAAAATGAAAAAAAATAAAATAAAATAAATCTCACCCTAGCATTATGCAAGACAGCTCTAACTAAACAAAAAAGTTGTCTCTGTCCAGCGCTGAGATTTTTTCCACCTTCATCTAATGTAGCACCCAAACCTCCTAAACGTCCAACTAAAGTAAGAAGTTTACATTTCTCAAGTGCTCGACACAATTGAGAATCTGGATACTGATTAAGAGGATCGATATTTTCTCTTATCGTTCCCGAGAATAAAAATGGATTTTGTGGAATTATCGATAAACGCGATCTGAAAAAAGGAGAAAAATTGTTCATCTTTTTAAATAAATAAAAAAATAAATAACATACCTCAAGGAATTGAGTTTTAAATTTTGAACATTAACATTGTCAATTGAAATCTCGCCTGAACTAATTTCCACCAATCGAAAAAGTGACGATAAAATTGAACTTTTCCCAGCACCGGTTCGACCGACAATTCCAATTTTCTCCGCCGGTCTTGTTGAAAACGATACTCCTTTCAACGAAGGCACCAAATGTTCCCTTAAAACAAAAAAATCAAAAAAAAACATGAAATCATTGTAAAACAAAAAAATTTGGAAAAAAAAAAAAGTAATTCATTTACCGATATTTGAGAACAACATTTCTAAATTCAACAACACCTTGAGTTGGCCAAGCATAAGGTGGATTTTCCCCATTAATTGTTTCCACTGAAATATTATCAAGATATTGATTAATACGTTCAACGGCAATCATTTCGCGTTCAGTTTCAGTGAATGCATTAACAAGTCCTGAGAGTAGTGATGAAACAGAAAGCATATAAGTAACGGCCAATCCAATTAATCCAGGATCAGCAATATCATATTGATGTTGAATAACTGCCATTACACAAACACCTCCCAATAATGCAACGCCAATAAATTGTAATCTCAATGCCAACCATTGTCCAGCTGCAGTTGAGGCAAAAATTGCCTTTTGACTATTTTCCAAAAAATGTTCATTTTCAAATTTAAATCGCGATACAGCCCTAAAGGCGCGTATTGTACTCAATCCTTGTAGTGTCTCATTGAAATGTGCATACAATGGCGAGAGTGTTGAACTTGACAATCTCTTCAATTCCCTTGACGTTAATCTAAAAAATAATTTTTTTTTTCAAAAATTTTGTGCAAAATTTCATTAAAATTAGATATTAAAAATAATTAATTTAGTAATGGAATTTTAGTTAAACAAAAATAAAAATACAAGTGTTTTTTTTTCTACCTGTAATGATTTTGAAGCCAATTATAAATTGGAACCAATGGCGCCAAAACTAAAAATATCCAAGGCAATCCATAAAGTGTAACAATCACAATTCCCATTAAACCAAAAAATTGTGCAAATAAAATATTTGAAATAAAAGGAAGTGAATCATCAACTGTATATGTATCAGACGAAAATCTATTAATAATCCTCCCATGTGGTTGAATATCAAAAAATGTAGACTTTGCCTAAAAAAAATTTCACAAATTCAATAAATAAAATAATTTTCTAGATGTAAAATTCAACTAACCATTACAACAACTTTGAGCAATTGTTTTTGTATATAAATTGCAGCTTTCAATCCACCATAAGCAAACAAAAATGCTCTCACTAATGTAAAAAATGAATTCAATATCGCGAGTGCAGCATAAATTGTTAAATAATATTTAACATTTGTATTTTCTCCATTTGTTAAATATTCGATTAATTTTGTATTACTTGAATTTGTTGAATTTCCATTTGTATCATTATTATGAGTTACCCAAAATGATAACCATAAATCGGTAACATTTCTCGATGATTGCATTAAAAACATTGCTAAAAATATTGCAATAACAAAATAATGTCCAATAGCTTTAAAATAAGATTCATAAACACTAAATTGTAATGTTCCCTTTTCAAGTGTTTCATCTTCAAGTAAAGAATCTCTATCACCATCATTCAATTCATCTAATTCTTTAGGAATTATTTTTCTTTTTTTTCCCGTAATTGAATTTAAATCAATTTCCATTGATTCAGTTGACAATAAAAATTCATCTAAATCGGCAAGTATTTCACTTGGTTTTCCTTGTTTTAAAATTTTTCCCTTTGACACCTCAACAACAGTATCAGCATGTATCAAATATTGTGTCTGATGCGTGCACATTATTCTCGTTTTATTTTTTAATAATCCAAGAATGACATTATTAAAAATATGTTTAGCCACACGCATATCCAATGTCGCTAAAATATCATCCAATAAATAAATATCTTTATCGGCATAAATTGCACGTGCAAGAGTTATTCGTGTTTTTTGTCCACCACTTAATGTCATTCCCGCTTCACCAACACCGCTTAAATCCTTCTTTGGAAATGTATTTAAATCATCAGTCAATGCACAAGCTCTTATTATCGATCTGAAAATTACAAATTTTTAAAAATAATAATAATAATAAAAAATTAATTTTTTTTTTTACATACTTGTATTTGTTGTGATCATATGGTTTTCCAAATAAAATATTTTCACGAATTGTTCCACGTTGAATCCAAGGAATTTGTTTAACGAATCCAAAACCTTTTTCTAAATTATTTACAGCCACTATTCCCTCTTCTTTTGTAATTTCACCTAAAATTCCATCCAATAGAAGAGATTTTCCACAACCAACACGTCCCATTATACCTATTAATTGGCCCTATGAACAAAAAAAAAAAAAAAATTTATTAATAAATAAATAAATTTTTTCTTTACAATTTTATTTACCTTTTCAGCAATGAATTCTAAATTAGATAAACTGAAAATTTGCTTTTTCTCATCTTCAAATCTAACGAGTCTTTCAGTTTCTTCGCCACGCGATGTTGATGGGGAATTTTCATTTTTTAAATCACTTCGTGTACTGAATGTTGTATTTTTCACCATAACATCAACTCCAATTGGTGGATCCGAATAAAAACTCGCAATATCTGCCTCAGGTAACTATTAATTATAAATTTATTAAAATAATTAATTATAAATAAATAATTATTATAAAATTATTATTAACTAGCAATATTAAACGCGCGCCAAATTGAGTATTTCATTATTTGTTATAGAGAAATTAAAAATTAATATTATCAATAATTATTTAAATTTATTAGAATATTATTCCATATTAAATGTAAAAAATAAAAATTATATGTTTATAGGCCTCAGATTATTAATTATCAAATTATTAAATTTTAAATTCAAAGTCTTTTAAAATTCAATTATTTTCCAAATTTTCAATTTAAAATCAAATAAAATTCAATTATTACCCAAAATTTCCATTCAAAATCAACTAAAATTCACTTATTTTCCAAATTTTCAATTTAAATTCAAATAAAATAAAATTATTTTCTAAAATTTCATTTCAAAATTAATTATCAAAAATCAACTAAAATTGAATTATTATTTAAAATTGTAATTGAAATTTAATTATTTTCCAAAATTTCAATTCAAAATCCAAGACAATTCAATTATTTTCCAAATTTTCAATTTAAAATCACATAAAATTCAATTATTATCCGAAATTTTAATTTAAAATCAACTAAAATTCAAATATTTTCCAAATTTATCTATTGAAAATTAACAAAAATTCAATTCCAAAATCAACTAAAATTCACTTATTTTCCAAATTTTCAATTTAAATTCAAATAAAATAAAATTATTTTCTAAAATTTCATTTCAAAATTAATTATCAAAAATCAACTAAAATTGAATTATTATTTAAAATTGTAATTGAAATTTAATTATTTTCCAAAATTTCAATTCAAAATCCAAGACAATTCAATTATTTTCCAAATTTTTAATTCAAAATCTTTTAAAATTCAATTATTTTCCAAATTTTCAATTTAAAATCACATAAAATTCAATTATTATCCGAAATTTTAATTTAAAATTAACTAAAATTCAAATATTTTCCATATTTATCTATTAAAAATTAACAAAAATTCAATTATATTCCAAAATTTCAATTCCAAAATCAACTAAAATTCAATTATTTCCCAAAATTTTAATTCAAAATCAAAGAAAATTCAATTACTTTCCAAATTTTTAATTCAAAATCTTTTAAAATTAAATTATTTTCGTAGTTTTCAATTTAAAATAAAATAAAATTCTTCAATTATTTTCTAAAATTTCTATTCAAAATTAATTATCCAAATTTTCAATAAAAAATGAACTTAAATTAAATTATTATTGAAAATTTCAATTAAAATTCAATTATTTCCCAAAATTTCAATTCAAAATCAAAGAAAATTCAATTATTTTCAAAATTTTCAATTCAAAATCAACTAAAATTCAATTATTTTCTAAATTTAAAATCAAATAAAATTTAATTATTTTCTAAAATTTCAATTTAAAATTAATTATTAAAATTTTCAATAAAAAATCAACTAAAAATGAATTATTATCCAAAATTTTAATTGAAATTTAATTATTTTCCAAAATTTCAAATCAAAATTAAAGAAAATTTAATTATTCTAAAAAATTTGAATTCAATATTAATTGAATTTTCAATAATTTGAATTTAAAAGCATTTAAAATTTAATTATTTCTAAAATTTTCCATCGAAAATTTTTTGAAATTTAATAATTTCAATTATAACTCTAAGGGAATTTAATTATTTTTAAATATTTTCATAATATTCTTTGAAAATTCAACTATCTGAAACGATTTTTCAATTAAAAATGATTATCAAATTATTGTATTTTGTCTGTAATTTCTAATAAATTTTTTAGTGAAATCATATAAAATTTTAATTAAAATCACTTGAAGTTCAATTAATTTCTAAAATCTCAATTTTAAATCTTTTGAAAATTCAATTAAATTTAAAAAATGTTTTCCAAAATTTTTTTTGATAAATTATTTTTAGTTCTGTAAAATTTTATTATTGTTTGAAAATTAACAATATCTTTTGAAATTTAATTATTTCTAAAATTTTCAAGTTTAATTTGACACAAATTTGACACGTCATAAGATTACTATTCAAAAAACACGTGAAATCATAAAAGACCAATTTCAAGTTAGGACAGAAGGACAGACCAAGCATTTTATTATTATATAATTTTGAAAATATAATTTTTTTGATTCAATAAAAATAAATTTGCAAATATTTAAAATACATTGCAACATAAAGATAAAAATTAAGGTCAAGGTTATCATGATTGAAATCTGATTTTAATCAAAAGCATTCTTTATGTGATAAATATAATCGTGAAATATAACAATTAATTATAATAATTATAAAAAATAGAAACATTTTAAATTAGAAATAGAAATTAGAAATTAAAATTACTCACATCAAGTAGTCGTTGAATTCTCTTAATGGAAACCCATGATTCCGTGAGTCCAATGAAAACCCATGGATACATATTTAATGGAGTAATTAACATATTCATTAATGCCATTGTGGTAAAAACTGTTTTTGCATCCAATTCATTGCCAAGTAAAACATAAGTTATAAAAGTAAATACAGAAATAAAAACTTGAGTTGCCGCCCAAAAATAAACACACAATGCATCTAAATATTTTCTTCCCGATAAATATTTTACCTCCTTCTCTCGTAATTCTAATAAAATAAATACAAATTAAAATTTTAAATATAATTTTTACATCTCAAATTGTTTTTTCATTAAATTTTTTTTTTAAAAAAACTTACTCATTATGTTTCGCATAAAATGATCTTCCCAAACATTTAATTTTATTGTCGTAATACCTCTAAGTGTTTCGGCAATAATTCTTACTCGTTGATCCTTAAATGACATCATTTTTGTACTCAAACGACCCATTTTATTTGCAATATATTTATTTATTGGAATCATGACAATTGAAACTGCAACACCTACTAAGAATGAAATTCCAATTTGATTGTGAAGAAAATAAAAAATTACTGACAACTGAAACAAAAATGAAATTGCAATTTAATTTTTTAACTAAAGCATTTTTTTTTGTTTTTTCTAGAAAAAAAAATTATACCTGTATTGGAACACTCCATAATGCATGAAAAGAAGGACAAAAATTCATTATCCTATCGCTGTCTAAACTCATAAAATTAACAATTTCACCAGAGGAAAAATTCTCATTTAAAACAGAAGCCGATGTATGTAATGTTTTTCGATAAACAAGAGTAATTATTGCACTTCGCATTTTTAATGTTATAATCGATAGCCAAAAATTGAAATGTACATTGCAAAAAGTTCCTGAAAAAAACAGAATTTTCAAAGAATTTTAAAAGAATTTTAAAAGAATTTTAAAATATAATTTTTCAATAGAAAATTTCAAAATAGAAATAATTTTACTCACCTATTAAAGTAATAAGAAACATAAGCGAAGCATAAAAATATCCATGTTGTATTGGTTCATTTTTATTTTCAATAAAACCAAGAAGTTTATTTAAAATAATTGGACCGGCAAATCCCGCGCAATCAGCGATTAATTTCAATAAACCAATGGCATAAAATTGAAAACCAAAATTAGAATGTAAAATACGAAGTAGAGAAATTTTACTCGTTTTGATAAATTCAACATTTGTTTCACTTTGTGAATTTCCCTGTTTATTCAACGGCTGCAAAAAAAAAAACAATGACAAATATTTCATTAATTTCCTATTTAATAAAAATATAAAAAGAATTTATATTTAATAAAAAAATTACTTACAATTTCTTTTAATCGTTTATCAATATCGTTGCTGATTGTCGTTGATGAAATGCTATCCGGCAAATCATAAAGATCATCCGATTGATTTAAAAGTCCTTTCACACCTTTTGACATTAATGGTGTAACCCAATGAAAAAGAAGTTTTGAAGTAAATGGAACACTTTCCATTGCAACTCCAAGATAACTTGGATCATTTTCCTCAACAAAACGAATATATGACGAACCTGGACTATTAATTAATGAAGTACGTTCTCCTGTCTAGGGTAAAAAAAAGAAATTTAATTATCTGGAGAGTTAAAAAAAAAAAATTTATTTTTAAAATTGTTTGCAAAAAAAAAGAAACACTTACATCGGCAAATCTTGATGTTCTTCTTCGTGAATTTTCTCGACGATCAGGAATCAATGTGAAAATATAAAGAATCAATAGAACAACATTTGTTATACTAAATCCTAATGAAAGATTTGGTAAAACATCATCTTGTGGTATTTGATCAATATGATTCTTTAAAAATAATGCCGATATTCCAAGTAATAATATAATTAAAACACGCATAAATATTGGACCACGTGGATTTGTCATAATACTTTTTCTCAAACTTAAAGTAAAACAAAAATGTACAATCCATGCCAATCCTTCTGTACCAGCAACTAAATAATCAACTGGTTTTGCCGATGTTGCTTTATCATCTAATTTTAATAAATTTTCATCATAAATTTTATTTTCATTTTTTTTTAACACATTTCCATGTTTTTCCGATAATAAAAATAAATTTATTACACTTTGAGTATCATTTAATTGTCCTTCTATTTTTTTCATCCAATTTGAAAATATTGGAATTGGTGTTGTTGTAGTCGTTGTTGTAATTTGAAATAAATTATTTCCTGTTTTCAAATCGAGATTCACCGATAGTGTTGTATTTGAAAGAATAATATAGGCTTTTATTATTGGAAGAATACCCAAACAAAAAATTAAAAGAAGACGAAAATTTATTGATTTCGTTGAAAAATATTCACGTGAAATTGAATAACTTTGACGACCGCAATAATAAGCTGATGTTATTGCAATTAACACCAAAACTGGAATCTTTGAAAAGAAAATTTATTTTTTTAATAAAAGATAAAACAAATAAAATAAAAATTATTATTATTATTATTATTATTATTATTATTATTATTATTAAGAAAAACTACCTGTAAATATAATTGTTGAAAGCATAATCCAATATTATGAGTTTCAGGATTTAATGGCCTTATACTTCCTTGATAACCACATAATTCAGTCCAATTCCATTTCCAGGAACCTCCACTATCCTGGACTAATTCCAAGTTTTCCATAATATTCAGTTTTTTTTACACCATATCAAAATATCTTTTTTTTTTTGCGCGAATTAACAATTCTGTAAAATAATAATTTTTCTTAATGTTTTTTTTTCTTTCCTTTTTTTTTAATAATTGAACGTTTTTTCTTAACAATGACAATCACTTTTTAGAATTTTTTTTTTATTATTGTGCAACAAAAAACCGATATGTTAAAAAACAAAACTTACATATTTTGAGGATAAAATTAATTTATCTGAATCACGACATGACGCATGTCACTGACACAGAATATTGTTAAAAATGCAATCATTAATCATAAAAAGGAAAAAAAAAAATAACAGATAAGGAAATTCGCAATTTTGACAAGTGAACATAACCTCAATTATTTGAAAATGGAAAAACTAATTTAATTTTTTTATCTTACCTATTTATTATATTTTTGTAGATAAATATAACTTATATATCTAGAAATTGAAAAGAACTTTTTGTTTTTGTCTTCTCATTTGATAAATATAGAATATTTGCTAACTATTTTATAAGTATACAAGTTTACAATTTTCAGGAAGACGTGCAAGTGCAAAGGCGTAGATAATTAATTTTGAGGTTAACACATTCTACGCCAATGAAGCTGTTTACTTTTGACAGCTTTTGAAATTATGTATATTTATTTTCCTTAAAAATTTACATATTAAATAAATAAAAATAGTAATTGGAGTATTTTTTTTAGCATTAATAATAGTTACAGTATTTATATCAAAAAAGCCGAAGAAATATAAGAAAATTGCAATTAAATTGTAATAAAAGTATTTTTATAGGTTATGTTTCTAAATTTATTTTTCGTGAGCTAAAATAATAATTCAGGTATCTATTTTAATTTTAAATATATTCAAATAAATTAAATTATAATAATTAATCAATTATTTTTCAGTAATATGGACGAAATAAAAGAATGTAAAGATGAAAAAATTGGTAATAATGAAAATGTTATGTCGGAAAATATTTCATTGGAAAATTCTCTAAAAACAGAAATGCTGGAACATTTAGTGAAATCAAAGGCATTTTTTAAATCAGAACAAAAAAATGATCCAGAATTATCATTTGATGAGAAACGTATTGTTGCTTTAAATCTTTTAGAAAAAAATCCATCACAATTTCTCGCGAGATTTGGTTATTATTTAAAAAAAGAACATTTGGAATTATTTACAAAAATAAATGACAATTATGAAATTTCCTTTTATATTAAACAATTGTTGAGAAATTTTCAATTAACATCAAAAGGTAAAACAAAATTGGAAATTGATGTGAAAAATCGTCGATATGAAGCATTAAAATTACTTGTTGAAAAAGGTGATTATTTCAGTGAAATTGAAATGATGAAAAGAAATCCACTACTTTATGATCATCTTGTGGGAAGATATTTAACTGATGATGAAAAAAAAATACGCGACAATATTGATACACAAAATATTACATTTGTCAATTTATTAATGGAAAATATTGATCGTGATATTGTGAGAAATTTTAAACGTGATCAACAAAATGCTGAGAATGAAATTGAAGAGGAATATGATACCGATGAGAATAGTGATGATGATGAAAAAATTACATCAACCAGAATGAAAAAAGAAGATGAAAAAAAATGGGGCGAAATGTCACATCCAAAGGATATTTATGAAGCCGAAGAAAATGAAAGACAAAAAGATTTATTTTGGTATCATATCTCAAGAAATGAGCAACAAATATTGCGACAAGAATTTATTACAAATATGTATCAAAGTTTTTTAGATGGTCATGATATTGATTTTGATTATAGGTATATTTTGGAAAGTTAAAAGAAAAAAAATTCGATTTTAAATTTCAATTTTCCTAATGTCAAAATTATTATTATTTTTTTTTTTTTCAGTACTGTTGATGAAAATGAAGCCTATGATAATATTGAATTAAGAGGACAAGACGAAGAGGAAAAGTATTTTGATTCAGAATCACCAGAAATAATTGTTAATGAAAAACAAATGGATGAAGATGAATCTGAGGATGAATTAGACGCTTATATGAAGACTTTAAAGGTTAATTAATTAATTAATAGAAAAAAAAAGAAAATCTTGACAAGAAATTATTTTTCACAAATGTTTATTTATTTAATAGGAAAGTTCAACAAATCAAGTTGATGTGGAAACTGATTTGAAAATAAAAACTTAAATTTACTTGTAAATTTATTAAAATAAAAATTAATATTTTTTAACGATGTGAATTTTATTTTTCCTATAATTAGTTATTTAAAGTAAAATATTTATTAAACCAATTTTTTTGTCATAGTCAATCCTTTGAATTATTTATAATTTGAATAAGCGCGGGTGATAACAGCCAATTATAGCAATTTTCTTGACGCTTGCGCATTGTCAATAGATTAAGTGTGTGCTGCATTTTGCTCTGACAGTCTGACATTAAAACGAAAGTGATTTTTTAAAGTATATTTCTTAGTTTTAAAAAATGGTAAGTGATATTCCAAGTGATTTCTACATCTCTAAGAAAAAATAGGATCAACTAATATATAAATAAACTATCATAAAATTGTAAATGCAAATCAAAATTCTCGTCAAACAAGTTCGACCACTACGGATTCTTATATATCTATTAAAAATAAATATGGCTATATCTGTCAATCAAATTTAATTGTGTTAAATTAAATAAGTGTTTTTTTTTAATCATCTAAACAATATTAGTAATTTGCTGGTTGCTGATCAAGGAAAATTAATACAGTGGGTGGTTTCCTAACCTCAAAATTAGTGTTTTTTTTTTTCTGCATGAATAATATTTCTTGACAGCTTGTAAATATGTTTTCTTTTCTCATGCATGTTGTAGAAAAAAAAAAAAAGGATTTGTGAGCTAATCTAATTTTATAATTCAGTAAATATTGCAATGATTTTTAAGTAGATGAAAAATAAAATGTTAATGGATTAGAAGATTACTTTGAAAAAAAAAAATAATTTTGTAGTTTTTGTGTTTTTAAGTAGTTGGATTTGAATATGTATATGCATGATTGCTACCTGGCATTTTTTGTTAGGTATCTTTGTTTTTCTCACAGCCTTCGACACCTGCAATGACAGGACTCGAGGAGCAAGAGAAATTGTTGGAGGATGCAAGCAGTGTTGTTAAAGTACAAGCATTTGAAATGAAACACAATTTGGATAAATCAAAATTGATGGATGCTTTGAAACATGCATCAACAATGTTGGGAGAACTTCGCACCTCATTATTGAGTCCAAAGAGCTACTATGAACTTTGTATCCTTTTCATTATTTAACAATTATCCTTTTTTTTTTTTTTTCTCTTAAAAAGACATGCAAATGAAAATGTATCGAAATATCTCGATGGTCGAAAAAATGTTTCCCGAACATCTAAATCAATATTCATTTTATGAAAATCACCTTAAATTATTGTTACACATATATATTTTGCATAACTTAATTAATTGCAATAAATATACACTTGCAATGTATTTATTTGTTGTAAATATTTGCAGCTGTCATGAATCAAAAACGAATATAACTTACATTTAGTTGAAATCATCTGATTGGCCAAAGACAAAATAGCGCGCGATTTTTTAAAAATAATTAAATTTATTAAATTATAATAAAATAATTTTAAAAAATTTAATTATTATGAAAATAATATTATCTTGAATAAAAAAGTTTTTTTAATTTTAAAAAATAATTATTCAACAATTATTATTATTATTTTCAAACAAATTTTACAAATATTATTATTAGATATTATTATAATATTATTATAATATAATAATAATAATAATATTAATAATAATATTATTATTATAATATTATAATATAAATAATATAATAATATTATTATTATTAGATTATTATTTTTATGTTTGAAACTTTCTCTATAATTACATGCCTTTTTGCATTTTTTTTTTTTTTAACAATATTATTAAATATTTAATAAAATAATTGTAATAAATTATGAAACATAAATTGAAAATTAAATTGAATGGACAAAGAATAGAAGCAACAGAGACGGTCAAAGGCCGTCGGAGGCGCTAGAATATTTAAAAAAAAAAATTGTTTTTTTAAATGCTTTTTTTGCAAAAAAAAAAAATGTTATTTTTCTTACACAAAAACGAAAATTAGATATGGCAATTACAGATGAGCTTCGACATTTGGAATTATTTTTACTCGATGAATTTCAAAAGGGAAGAAAAGTTACCGATTTATATGAATTGGTACAATATGCAGGAAATATTGTTCCCCGGCTGTAAATATTTTTTTATTAATTTTTTTTTGCTATTGATTTTTTATTTTTGTTGAAATTTATTTGAATAATTGTTTGTTTTTTTTTTTTAGTTATCTATTGATCACAGTTGGATTGGTTTATATTAAAACAAATCCATGCCTTAAAAGAGATCTTTTACGTGATCTTGTTGAAATGTGTCGAGGTGTTCAACATCCATTGAGAGGACTTTTTTTGAGAAATTATTTACTTCAATGTACAAGAAATATTTTACCAGATTCACCTGAGGGTGATGACGAAGAAGGAACTGTATGAAATTTTTTTTTAATTAATCCGCTTCTTTAAAAAAAAAATAGTATTTATTATTAATTTTTGTTTAAGGTACGTGACAGTATTGATTTTGTATTGATGAATTTTGCCGAAATGAATAAATTATGGGTGAGAATGCAACATCAGGGACATAGTCGCGATCGAGAGAGACGAGAACGTGAAAGAGAAGAATTGAGAATTTTAGTTGGAACAAATCTCGTTCGTTTGAGTCAATTAGAATCGGTTACTTTGGATATTTACAAAAGGGTGAGAAAAAAACAAAAAAAAAAAATTATTTCTAAACATATCGATTGGTTATTTGTAAATTTCTTTTTTCAGTTGGTTCTACCTGGAATTTTGGAACAAGTAGTCAGTTGTCGTGATGCAATTGCTCAAGAATATCTTATGGAGTGCATAATTCAGGTAATTTTTTTTTCAAAAATAAATTTAGAAAATCGAAATTAATTTTTCAATTTTTTATAGGTCTTTCCCGATGAATTTCATTTGCAAACTTTAAATGCTTTTCTAAAATCATGCGCCGAGCTACAAAATGGTGTAAATGTGAAAAATATTATTATTTCATTAATTGATCGTCTCGCGGCGTTTAGTCAACGATCGGAAGGAGTTGGAGGACCGGGTAGTCCAAGTCAATTAACAGGAATTCCACAAGATGTTAAACTTTTTGATGTGTTCAGCGATCAGGTTGCTTCCATTATTCAGGTATTTCTATTTTATTAATTTTTTTTTGTTGATAAAATTAAAAACTGTTCAATGATGATTGATACTACACTTTTACTTGATAGTTTCATGATAAAAATATCAAAAAAAAAAAATTCCTTTCTCGTCTAGTTTAAGTCTGAGAACAGTTACGAATGTTTTTATTTATTTTTTTGCAATCTTGAGATAAATTTGGGGTCAGAGAACATTACTGATTATTGCCAGTTGTGAAAAAAGTTTCGTGCAGTAAACGTTTTTTTTTTTTCAACAGAATAGACAAGACATGCCACCGGAGGATATTGTTTCATTGCAAGTGGCTTTAATTAATCTTGCACATAAATGTTATCCAGATCGAGTGGATTATGTTGATAAAGTTCTTCACACGACAGTGCAAATTTTTCAAAAATTAAATATTGAAAAGTATGTAGATTTTCTTTTTTTTTTATTCTACTATAAAAATAATTGTTTCTTTAAATAATAGATTAATGTTTATTTAAAGATTGGAATATAATAGCGCAGTTTCGAGGGAATTGGCGAGACTTATGAAAATTCCAGTGGATAATTATAAAAATATTTTAGTTGTATTGAAATTGGAGAATTTTGCGCCACTATTGGATTATTTTGATTATGAGGGGAGAAAAATGTTGGCAATTTATGTAATTAGCAATATTCTTGATAATGAAACATTAATACCAACGCAGGAACAAGTTGATGCTATTTTGTCAATTGCATCGCCATTAGTTCAAGATCAATCGGATCAACCGAATATTGAAGAGGATCCAGAAGATTTTGCTGAGGAACAAGGATTATTAGGTCGATTGATTCATCATTTTAAATCGGAAACTGCCGATCAGCAATATATGATTTTAAGTGCTGCTCGAAAACATTTTAGTGCCGGTGGTAATAAACGAATTAAATTCACACTACCGCCAATTGTTTTTCAAGCTTATCAACTTGCTTTTACTTATAAAAATTTAAGCGATAATGTATGTATTATTTTTATTAATTTTAAATAATTTTTTGTGATTTGTGGCTTTGAATATTTTTTTTTCTTTTTAAAGGATGAAATGTGGCAAAAAAAATGTCAGAAGATTTTTCAATTTTGTCACACGACAATTATGGCATTAATGAAAGCGGAACTCGCCGAATTGCCATTGAGATTATTTTTGCAAGGTGCACTTGCAATTGGTGAAATTCGTTTTGATAATTTTGAAATGGTCGCTTATGAATATATGAGTCAGGCATTTTCAATTTATGAAGATGAAATAAGTGATTCAAAGGCACAATTAGCGGCAATTACATTGATAATTGCAACATTTGAACAAATGAGTTGTTTTGGTGAGGAAAATTCTGAACCAGTGAGAAATCAATGTGCACTTTATGCCAGTAAACTATTAAGAAAACCTGATCAATGCCGTGGAGTTGCTACGTGTTCTCATATTTTCTGGTCGGGAAAATCATTAGCAACCGAGGGAAAAGAGGTAAATTATTATTTATATTAAAATAATTTTTTTAAGAAAACAATTTCGGTTTTTTTTTTAATTTTGAATAAAGAAAGAAATCTTTTAAAGTAATTTTTAGAAAATAATTTCTAAAAAAGAATGTTAAAACTGAATAAGAATTTTTTGTTATTCAATTATTTTGATTGGCAATTTTTATTAAATTTTCAAAAGTGAATAATGAAATAAAAATTGAAAATATAATTTTTCCAAAGTAATTGAATTTTTTGAAAATTATTTTTTCAAAATTGAAAGTGAAAGTAAAATAATAAACTAAGAATATAAGAAATTTAAAAATGAAGGCACGGTAAGCATTTTGGATTTCTCTCAATCGATATTCTATTGTAAATTATAAAATATAAGAGAAAATGAAATTATTGGAAAAATATTTAATCTTTAATTTAATTTTCTGTCTGTAATTTATTATTATTAGATGCAAGATGGAAATAAAGTATTAGATTGTTTGAAAAAAGGAATTCGAATTGCAAGTCAATGTATGGATACATCAGTTCAAGTTCAACTTTACGTGGAACTATTGAATCATTATATTTATTTTTACGAAAAAGGAAATGTTGCCGTAAGTATTTACAAAATATTTGAAAAAAATGAAAATTATTTTCAAAAAAAAATTTCTTTTTCAAATTAAAAATATTTCAATTAATAAATTTTTAGGTGACGATTCAAATTTTGAATCAAGTAATAGCAAAAATACGAGAGGAATTGCCTAATTTAGAAGTTAGCGAAGAAACCGAACAAATTCAAAAGCATTTGGCAAATACTTTAGAACATTTACGAAATCGAATGGAATCACCTGAATCCGAGGGTTTGACATATGAAGGCCTTGTTCTTTAATTTTATTTTATTTTTGTAAAATTATTGTGTAATTTTGTACATATATTTTTTGTATTAAGAACAAAAGAAGAAATTGTTTCTTAAAAAAATACGTAGATTAGAGAAAATAATTTTCGTTTTGACAAGAAAAGATTTTCGCGTTGAAATTAAATTTTTTTTTTTGTTAATGTTTTATGAAAGAAAAAATGTCGATAGTGCAAAAAAAAATGTTTCGACTAATCAAAAATAGAATTTGCTATTGTCATATATTTTTTTTTTTTTTTAAAGGGATGAGTCCATTAATAAGTGTTGCAATATCATAATTTTTGTACCTCTAGTTATTGTTCACTATTTATAAATATATACAAGATTTAAGAAAATTACATTTTATGAAAATGTAATTGATGTAAAAAAAATACAGTGCGAATTTTGGTATAAATATGCGTGATAGAAAGGCACTTTATATATATATATATTGGTTTTAATAAAAATTTTGTTTTAATTAATTTTTATCGTTTTTTTCATTTCTTATAGATTGATAATTTTTCTATTTTATTATTTAGTCAAAAAAAGAAAATTTCATATTTGAATTTTTTTCTTGTTTCGCGGTATATGTGGCGCTGGTGACGTTTCAATTTTTTCAGGTTATGTTCGCAAGCATGTGTTTTGTTGCCGCTTGTATTTTTGTTTATAAATTTAAATGAAACAATGTTATCACGTATTTATGGTATTTGTCAAAGAAATGTGAATTCATGTGTTGTTTCCAGTAAATTCTGTACATATTTTGAAGTAAGTTATTATATTATCAAAATTCTATTTATATTTTATTCAAATTACGTTTTAATTATTGGATTTTTTTATCTTAAAACAATTGACTATTATTCACTTTTGGTATAATTAATTTTTTTAAAACTATTTTTACTTTACCCAGGAACCAACGTATATTAAATTTGATAAAAATGTTGAAAATTCTGAATTTGATAAACCGAAGAAAAAAATACCGATAATTACATGTAAAAGGAGTAAATATAATTATTATCAAGGACAGAATTATCCGAAATTTGCACCATTGCCATTGGCTTCAGATGGATGGCATATAAGAAAATCGAAAGGAGATTATTTTACAATTAATCCTGTAATTATTATGTATTTATATTATATATATATATATATATATATATATATATAGAATATTTTAAAAAATATTTCTAGAAAACTAACCTTAAAAAAATTTGCTTTATTGATTAAAAAGTTAATAAATAATGAAGAAATTGTTAAATAATTATATTTTAAAAGCAACATTTTTGTGCATTAAATCTGAATAATAAAATTTGTGATAATATTAATAATTATCATGTTACTTAAATAGGAGTTTAAATATTTGTTATTTTATTAAAGGGTTAACACTTATCAAAGTGTTTTTTAATTTTAAACTAAATTTTAAGTTAACCCAAATAAATTTATTTTATAACTAAATATTTAATAAATTCCGATTCCGATTTTGTCATTAAAAATAAATAAAAATTAATTTCAGATTAATGAAGATATTCAAGAATCAAATGAAAATAGAGAAACAATTACCTTTAAAGATTTGGGTGTTTCTGATAAATTAGTTGAAAATTTAAGAAAACAATTTGAAATTAAAACGCCAACAACAATACAAAGAGATGGAATTCCAGTGATATTGGAACAACAAAATGTGAAATTATTAGCAGAAACGGGATGTGGAAAAACTTTTGCTTATTTATTACCATTAATTGATCAAATTTTTAATTGGAAAGAAAAAATTGAAAGAAATTTTAATCATCCACTTGCATTAATTATAACACCAAGTAGAGAATTATCAATACAAATTGGAGTAAGAATTTTTTTTTTTATTATATTTTAATTTTATTTTAAAAACATTAAATTTTTAATTTTCAATTTTTTTTATTGCAGAAAGTTGCAATGCTATTGACAAAAGATTTAAATATAAGAACAAAAGTTGTTATTGGCGGTGGTATAAAAAGTAAAATATCAAATCCACCTGCTAGTAATGTTGATATTATAATAGGGACAATTGGAGCTATAAGTAAACATACAACAATAGGAATTTATAAAATGAAATATGTACGACATGTTGTATTAGACGAAGCAGATTCTCTTTTTGATGAAACATTTTATGAAAAAGTTCGATATTTTTTGCAAAAAATCACTGTAAGTAAATTAAATTTTTTTTAATTTGTAAATTATAAAATTAATAATAAAATTATTTTTTTTTTTCTTTCTTTCAGTTTGGACCACTTAAAGAATTTAGTGAGGGCTTTCCAAAATATTCCCAATTGACATTAGTATCGGCGACAATGCCTCAATTTATTGATGATTTTCTCGAAAATATTGTCGACGTGAGTTTTTAATTGAAAAAAAAAAAATATTTTCTTGTTGAATTAGAGTATTTAAAATTATTTTTTTTATGTTTTAGCTCTCATCTTTAGAGGAAATAGCAACTGATAAAGTGCATCGTGTTAATGTATTACAAAAATTTTTACGTCTTGGAGTTCAACAAAAACCAATGACATTATTGAGATTAATAAAAAGTAAGGCAAAAAATAAAATTCCTGTTATTGTTTTTTGTAATAGTGGTAAAACATGTGATTGGGTCTGTCAATTTCTCAATGAATTTGAAGTGAGAAGTATACGTTTAAATGGTGATATGCCACTTTATAAGAGAAAAAATAAATTTAGAGAATTTTATATTGGTGTTTATAATGTACTCTGTACAACTGATGCTGGTGCAAGAGGTTTAGATACTATTATGGTGAAAGATGTTATTAATTTTGATTTTCCACTTCAAACATCCGAATATATTCATAGGTAATTTATTTTATTTCAAAAAAAAAAATATAAAATTTTTAATTTCATTGTGTATATAAAATTTTGTGTGACAAATATTTTCAGATGTGGAAGAACGGCAAGAGTTGGTAGTCCAAAGGACTGTAGAGTTATTAATTTTGTTTCACGAACATTGGAAATTCAATTGACGCAAAAAATTGAAAGAGCCGTTAAATTAAATAAGCCTCTGCCTATGTGTGATTATTTAAAAAAAAATTGGACTCTAAGCAAAGAAGATGAAAGGCAATATCGTTTAGATGAAAAAAGGGATAAACAAAATATTAAAGAAAATTTTCAATATTTCCCTGACAATTCGCCAAAGGATTTAATTGAAAATACATTTGAAATTGATGATAAGGAGGATTTTGTTAAAAATGAAAGACACTAGATACATTGAATTTTTGTAAATAAATTTTTCAGAGATAAGTAAATATAATTTACATTTTTTAACACACACAAGGTTAGTTTTTTTTTCTTTTAATAATATTTCTTTTGGTTTATATATTTTGATTTTTTGAAAATTTAATTAATTTTTACTAAAAAAAAAAGAGAGAAATTTATCCAATTTTTCCCCCCCTTTACATCCGGAGGCACACCCACATCGTCGCTTTTGCCCTCTCAAGTAAATAATAGTACCGCGAACAAACTCGTAACCTTTATTACCCGCTTTTGGTTTTAGCGAAATTAAATGCGACGCAGGCACGATTCTTGTTTCGCGAAATATTTTGCAAAATTTAGAAAATTTTACATTTTTTTAAAAAATCGAATATTATTTACTGTATTTAAATATAAAATTTTTTATTTAATATTAAATGCAATTTGCAAAAAAAAAAAAAATTGCAAAACATTTCGTTGAAATCAATTTTTGCATACGTTTAATTTCTAAGAAAATACAAAAAAAAATTGCCAAAGTCATTGCTTTTCATTCTCTTGGATTATAGAAGAAATATATATATAAGAATTCACATTTATATTAAATTTTCTGTCGAAAGGGAAAAAAAAATAAATGTAAGCAATTTTTTTTATTTTAGCATCAAAAATTGAAAAAAAAAGAATTAAAATAAAGAAACATTATTTTAATAATTAAATCTATTTGAATGGGGTTATTTCGAAAAAAAACAAAAATATTTAAAAATTGAAATTATGTGAATATTGAAATTGAATAAATAGAAAATATATTTCTTGGATTCTCGTATTATATTTATATGTATTGCGATTGAAAGAGTTTACGTCAGAAGAAGTTAGGGGCAGATTTAATCTGTTCTTTGATCTTCCGTGCCACACGCAAAGGTCTTGAAGAGCCCAGCATACCCGCATCTCATGAGAAGCCTAAACATTGAACATCTGCACTCAACTTGTTACAAATACAGTGTGTCGTTACTAAAATATAATTATAAAAAAGTACAAAATCTGATCATCACGCAAGGACGAACAAAACTTGAAATTTAATTTTTCTTTCTATTTTTATAAAAAAAAAAAACAGATTATCTCAAAAATACAAATACAAAAAAAAATTAATTTATAATCGATTTTAGATGAAGAAAATCGATTATACGATAAATTAATTTTTTTTTCCCTACGTTAATCCTAGACTAGGTTTTTGTAAATTTTTTTTTTCAATTATTATTCAATTAAAAGTATTGAATCTCATTTTATAACCAACAAGAAAAATTAAATGCGCACAAGCGCGCCAAATCGAGTATTTAATTGTTTTTTTTAAAAAAAATTAAAGATTAATATTATCAATAATAATTTAATTTATTAGAATATTATTACATATTAAATAATAATAATGAAAATTATATGTTTACAGGCCTCGGATTATACGACTTTTTCAGACTTTTTTCAAAAATACGATTTTTATCGACTTATTTTAATAAAATGCGACATTTTATTTACAGTTGAAAAAAAAGTTAAAAAATACATTTTTCTAGTATAAAATGTAGATCTTCTTCAATTCAATTATTTAACAAATTTTAAACTAAAATGATTCTTCACTAAATTAATTAAATTTAATAATTTTAATGAAATACATCACAAATTTAATTATATCAAAATTATTTTTCAATTAAAATTTTTATGAAATTTAACAATTGTTTATAATTTAAAAAAAAAATATATAACAATAAAATTGAATTATTTTTTAAAAATTTCAATTCAAAATAAACTAAAATTCAATTATTACTCGAAATTTTAATTCAAAATCAATTAAAAATCCAATAATTATCCAAAATTTTCAATTTAAAATTTAATTATTTACCAAGTTTTCAATTTAAAATGAAATAAAATTCAATTATTTTCTAAAATTTCTATTCAAAATTAATTATTCAAATTTTCAATCAAAAATGAACTTCAATTAAATGATTATCCAAAATTTCAAGTAAAATTCAATTATTTCCCAAAATTTTCAATTCAAAATCAATTATTTTCCAAAATTTCAATTCAAAATCAACTAAAATTCAATTATTTTCTAAAATTTCAATTAAAATTCAATTATTTTCCAAAATTTCAATTCAAAATCAACTAAAATTAAATTATTTTCTAAAATTTCAATTAAAATTCAATTATTTTAAAAATTTTCCATTCAAAATCAACTAAAATTCAATTATTTTCCAAAATTTCAATTGAAAATTAACTTAAATTCAATAATTTTCCAAAATTACAATTGAAATTCAATTATTTCCAAAATTTGCAATTTAAAATCAATTAAAATTCAATTATTTTCTAAAATTTCTATTCAAAATTAATTATCCAAATTTTCAATCAAAAATGAACTTAAATTAAATTATTATCAAAAAATTTCAATTAAAATTCAATTATTTCCCAAAATTTTCAATTCAAAATGAACTGAAATTTAATTATTTTCCAAATTTAAAATCAAATAATATTTCATTATTCTCAAAAATTTGAATTCAAAATTAATTGAATTTTCAATAACTTGAATTTAAAAGCTTCTAAAATTTAATTATTTCTAAAATTTTCCATCGAAAATTTTGTTTTTTTGAAATTTAATAATTACAATTATAACTCTAAGGAAATTCAATTATTTTTAACTATTTTAATAATATTCTTTGAAAATTCAACTATCTGAAACCATTTTTCAATTAAAAATGAGTTTCCAATTATTGTATTTTGTCCGCATTTTCTAATAAATTTTTAGTAAAATCATCTAAAATTTTAATTAAAAATCACTCAAAGTTTCAATTAATTTCAAAAATCTCAATTTTAAATCTTTGAAAATTCAATTAAATTTAAAAATTGTTTTCCAAAAATTGTTTGATAAATTATTTTTAGTTCTGTAAAATTTAATAATTGTTTGAAAATTAACAATATCTTTTGAAATTTAATTATTTCTAAAAATTTCAACTTTAACCCTTCGAAAAGGATTATTATTAAAAAAAAAATTTTTATTTAAAAATCTGTAAAATATTTTTGTTAAAATAAAAAACAAATCCACTTTTTTTTGGAATATAAATCGACTAAAACGACTTTTTTTGTGTCTTTAAGTTGATTCGAGGCCTGTATTTTTATAATTAATATCTAATAGATAATCGTTGGCCCCTGGTACCTTAAAAATTAATTTTTAAAAATAAATTTTTTTCAAATTACTATCTTGTACGAAATTTCCTGGCGCATCTTTTTTCTCATCATAAATTTTTTGTACAATTTTTGAATCAATATACAACTTTAAAAAAAATTTAGTTGGTAAACGTTGTGTACTTCAGCTTCGTGAATTGAATTTTCGAATTTGGAATTTTAAAGAAACTTATTCCGAAATTTGGAAACACAATTATACAACTTTGGCAAAAATGAGAAAAAGAATTGTCAAAATTTGACACGTCATAAGATTACTATTCAAAAAAAAACACGTGAAATCAGAAAAGGCCAACTTCAAGTTAGGACAGAAGGACAGACCAAGCATTTTATTATTATAGAATATAATTATTAGTTAGAAAAAAAAATTTCTTCATGTTTTAACCAATTATATTAGCTACAAAAAAAAAAAATTTCTTCATTTTTTGGGGAAATTTTTTTTTTTATTAATAACAAAAGAAAAAAAAAATTAATGAATTTAGATGTACCTAAATGGGATTAACATTGTACAGTTTGTTGAAGAATAAAATATACAGTATTTGTCAAGAGGGCACGCGATCATTTACAAGAGAAAGTGGGGAGTTGTACCTTTGGTTCGGAACCTATAGCCAAGCCGTGATCGCACAACGGGTTCAGTTGTTACGCGGAGCGCATACTGTTTACTTCGTGTATCATTTTGCTTTAAAAAAAAAAGAAAAAAAAAACCAAATTTTTTCCACTAGTGAATTTTTGTGTATTAAAAAAAAAAATTCTGTGATTTCTCATCATTTTCGATAAATTTTATTCAACACATAAAGGAAACAAAAATTGTAAGTTTTTTTTATGTACAAAAAACATAAATTATTAAAGAAAAAGTAAATAGATAAATCAAATAGAAAGTCACTGTTTTTTAGATAAATTAAAATTTTTGGAGCTAAAAAACATTTTTTCGACACATTTTGTTGTAATTTAAAAATTTTTAAATTCCTTTGGGATTTTGTTTTTGTAATTTTATTACCTTTTTTTGTAAAAAGATGAATTTAAAAATAAAAAAATGTGAATTGTGTATCGGGTGTCCAGTAATCGATCAAGAATTGGAAAAATTCTTTCACGAAGGCCATTTCTTTATTACTGAGACGCTTTAAACAGGATTCGAGTTCTAGTCGGAAGATTTTAGAACGTAAACGTCAATCATTTAGAAATGATGAAAATTAGTTCATTGTCATTTTAACTTTAAGGTTCAAAAAACATTGAGGTTTTCTTTGAATAATTTTTTTTTCATCAAAAATAAATTTGTTAATAATTTAAAAATTATTGCTTATTGTAATTTTATATACAATTAAAATCAGACAAAGAATATTATTATTATTGTAAACAATAATAACGAGAAGAATCCGTTATTTTCAATTAGTATTTTAGAAATAATAGAGAATAATTAATTATTATTATTTTCATATTCTAAAAAAGACTGGAAATAATTAAATAATTAATTTGCCTTTTGATGAGAAATCATGGAATAAATTCCCATAGGTTCATTTAAACATTTATTTTAACAGGAGTTTGAATGAAAATTGCCTTGAGAAGTGGTCCGTTCATTATTGGATTCGTATTGTTAATTTTAACCAATGGAAAATAAATATGAAATATAAACAAAACGAACAGTGTTTTTCAAGTGTCAATTTAATTTCGGGACATTAATTTATATATTTGAATAATAAAAGTGAAAGTTTTATATTGTGAAATTTGTGCCTGTGATTGTTTTTTGGAAAACAAAAAAGGAGTACAGTATTTTTTTAAACTGTGGTTCACCGGAAGCCGCTATATTGGAGAGGAAGAGGGAAAGCGGCGTGCCGCTGTTTTGTGTGCCGCGACAGAGGCGCTCGTCACAGTCAGAAAACGTGAGTTACTTTTACTTGTATTTTTCTTTTTTCTTTTTTTTTTTTGCCAATATAATTACTAATTTTTAAAGGAAAAAATTTAATATAAACGGAGAAGGAAAAAAAATTTTTTCATTGGTCGCAGTCGTTAAGGCGAGTTATAGGTTTAAAAACAGTTGGATTAGGCGTCTAGGGTTCAAATCCTCATGGAGGGGTTTTTTTTTTAATTCAATAATAGAATCAGGGATTATGCGTTTTTTTTCGCCTCCTTCCCCTGGTGTAAAGACGCTTAAAAAATTCAATTTTGAATAATTGACTGTATTTTTAAAATATATTTTTAATTGCCTCTTGTTTTTGTTCATCTCTCTTTTTGTTTCTTGTTTTGTACTTTCTTTTGCTGGTACATTTTTTTACAAGAATTATAGATTATTATAATTTCTATTGTAAGAAATAAAAATCCCACCGCTGTCACCAATTTTATTTCTATAATTTCAACTACATTGGTGACAGCTGTAGGATTTCTATTCCTTGTGATTTTTATAATTTATATCGCAAGGAATAGAAATCCCACCGCTGTCACCAATATAGTTGAAATTATAGAAATGAAATTGGTGACAGCGGTGGGATTTCTATTCCTTGCGATATAAATTATAAAAATCGCAAGAAATAGAAATCCCACCGCTGCCACCGGTTTATTCCAACTAGAGTTGAAAGCAAAGAAATCCCACCGCTGTCACCAATATAGTTGAAATCAAAAAAATTACATTGGTGACAGCGGTGGGATTTCTATTTTTTGCGATTATTATAATTTCTATCTCAAGAAATAAAAATCCCACCGCTGTCACTAATGTAATTTCTTTGATTTTCACTATATTGGTGACAGCGGTGGGATTTCTTTGCTGTCAACTCTAGTTGAAATAAATCGGTGGCAGCGGTGGGATTTCTATTCATTGCGATTATTATAATTTCTTTGCTTTCAACTTTAATTGGCATAAACCAGTGACAGCGGTGGGATTTCTATTCCTTGCGATATAAATTATAAAAATCAAAGAAATTACATTGGTGACAGCGGTGGGATTTTTATTTCTTGAGATAGAAATTATAATAATAATAAATATAATTCAATTTTGAATAATTGACTCTATTTTTAAAATATATCTGTTTCTTGTTTTGTACTTTCTTTTGCTGGTACATTTTTTTACAACAAGAATTACAGATTGTAATTTTACAATAGCTCTGGTAAATTTGTCTCATTATGCGAAGAAAAGGTACTTTTTATTGCCCACGCTTGCTATAGTGATAAATTTACTGCGCGTTTAGTAATTCTTCTCTTTTCTTAATAAATCATTGAACTCATTAACAAACAATATGATTACTTTTTAAAAAAAAAAATAATAATTCCAAATTTTTTTTTGTGGTTCTGGTTTTCTTTTTCTTCTATTTTTTTTAAATGTCTCTCAATGAATTTGATGATGAGAAAAAGATTACTATCGCAATGTTATTTGAGCCAGAAATTTGTCCCTTTTCTAGCGGAAGAATGACCGCAAAAGGATCATAAGTCGTGAAACAAGCAGAACCCGTCCACTTACGCAATTTGAAATAAACACGCAAAATGACTTCTAAAACAGGACTTTTCTGATGTTTATCTTGGTTCATGAACTTGGGTTTTTTTGTACCAGAGTTTTACAAAAAGTTTCTTATTTTTTTTGTACATTGAAAAATTATTTCTTTTAATCGATTATAAATATTTAATGGCAATTAAATTTTATCTGTTATATAGAAATTATTGGTTCAAATAAAATTTAGGTTATAAAAATTATTTCGATTCATGTAAATATTTATTTGATAATAGTCGAAGTAATTAATTTGAATAAAATTTTTTTTTTTTTTTCATTGAAGAACTAAAATTTCGATATTAAAAAAAATATGGCTGTATAATTTTTTTATTATGTAATTTATATTATAATATGGTAATCATGTTGTATAATTTTATATTTATATATATGTCGTCTTCAAGGTCGTTGATGCTAAAATATTTAATATCAAAGCCTAATGTTCCCACAAAAGCGTGGGATGATGTTATGAAAAGTCACATGTGGGTTCAGTATAGAGAATGCTAATTCTTTTCCCATCTCTAATAAACACTATATAACAATCATCTAACCTCGCAACTTTAATTTTAATATTAAAATTATGGTGGGCCGTAATATTAAAAAATTTCTTAAAATCTACTGCAATTTTAATTAACAATTTTTTTTTTTTTATGAGAATTTCTATCTTATCTAAAAGCGAGTCTTAAGGAGTCACTCATTTGTTTTAGTTTTTACTGTTTGTTAGTCATGCAAGACAGGTTTCAAGTATCTATTACTAGATATATCAGCATTTTAAGAATGAGTCACACAAGAAAATATTGTATACGAATTCATTCAATTCTTTTGCATTTGAAACACTTTTTTTTCAAAATGTATAAAGGAATTTTAAAATAATGTGACAATGAATTGAATTTTTTTTCCCAGAAACGTTAGTTTCTAATTAAAGGTGTGTCTTCCCACAGGAAGGAAGAGAATAAAAAAAATAAAAAGGTAATTGACCTTGAAAATATTCGGTGTGTGAATTAAATTTTCTCTCAACTATTTTTAAATAGATAAGGTTAATTAACAGTTAATTCAGTTACTAATAACAATAACTGCGATTCTTTATTTTATTAAATATGTATGATAATCTATATTCTAGTCACGTTTCAACATTTTTCCTTGTTTCCGGTTGAAAAATGCACTTTATGATCTTTTTTTTTTTGGTTTGAAAATATATACCTGCGGTTGACTGTGGGATTTTAGGATATATAGGGTAACTGCACCAGTGGTGGATCATGCACCAGTGGTGGATCAACTGCGAGAAAAATGGTCATTTGTGTTTACACGTTTGTAAGTAAATGAACCGCAAATGTCGGTAATTGTTAAGAAAGTTATACAGATCAATATTACAATTTAAAAAAATTTTTAAATTCATCGCGAAGAAAGCAGGACAACAATTACTAAAGTGATGACAGAAAACAAGAGTTTTCCTTAGCATGTAAGTTAAGAGTATATTTTGGAATAGAAAGCTTTGGAGCCATTTTAGGACAATTTTTAATTCTTTTCACAATAGGAGGCATTACGTTTCATCCCCATAGAGCCCTGAGAACAATATTTACGTCTGTAAGTAGCGCGTGTCCATTGTTTTGGGGTGATCCACGACTGGAACCAAAAAAGTAACAAAATCTAGTGGTGGATCAGTCCTACTTTTCGCCTGTTGACGCATTGTGGACGCTCCACTTGACATGAAGTCGATTAGGTTATTCAATTTGGGTGGGGGAAATTCAAGATGGACGTTTGCCAAAAGACAAACAAACATTAGAAATGTATGGGACGAAATCGAATTTTATTAAATTGGAGGTTCCATGAGAATTCCGTCGGAAATTCCGTCGGAATTTCAGCGGAGTTCCAAAGAATTTCCGGCGGGATTCCGACGGAATTCCGATGAGATTCCGATGGAATTCCGATTAATTCTTTTTTAATTTTTAGAGTCCTAAATTAAGAAAATTATTATTATTATAAAATAGAATTTAATTTAATCGAAATTAAATCGATCTGTCAACTTGAACAACATTATTTGAATTCGATTTATGTTTTTCTTTTACTAATTCTTTAATACATAAACCATTTTTTTAACGATGTCAAGTAAATATTTAATTAAAAATATATATTTTTTTAGAAAGTTTCTATGATAATTCATCGGAATTCCAACGGAAATACGATTTTTTAAATCTTTTAAGCCATACACTAAGATAAAATTTTATAAAAAATAAAATTTTTTAGTGAAGTTTCTATGAAAAAAATTCTATTTTATATATTAATAATTTTCTTAACGTAGGACTCCAAAAATTAAAAAAGAATTAATCGGAATTCTATCGGAATCTCATCGGAATTTCATCGGAATTCCGACGGAATCACATCGGAAATTCTTTGGAACTTCGATAAAATTCCGACGGAATTCCGTTGGAAGTTCCGATGGAATTCTGATGGAATCTCCAGGGAGCACTTTCCGGGGAATCTTTTTAAGTGGGTATCCCCACTCTACTCTCAGTATTTCTCATTCCTCCACTGGTGACTAGTGTACAATAGCACAATTCCACCGAAGGCGTTGGACAATAAATGTTATTTATCATTGAAACTGAAGCTTTAAGAGTTTCTATTTATTTATTAGCAAAAATTCTAATAAAAAGATGATTAATTAACATTTAGTCACATTATACCTATAGAAATGAAAGAGGAGGGGATATGGATAGGAAAGTGAATTTGAAAATCTGTCCGTAAAGCCTTATAAAAGTTGCAAAACGTCTCAGTCTCGTAATTTTGAAATGCAATGTTTTTTAGTATGATTTTTTAAGTGATCCACCACTGGAGCAATCTATAACCATGACTGGTGCAAACAGTGATCCAGAATAGGATCATTGACAAATTATCTTTGATGGAGCATTAAAGTAAACGTAGGTGTCAAAATCAAGTCTAACCTTGAAGGAAATGTCTATTGGAACTATCTGGTCCATAATACTATAAAGAATAACCTCGAATTTGTCTAAAAACAACCTATACAGAACTTCAAAGTCAAAATAAGAAAGTTAAGGGGCTTAACTGATCCACCACTGGTGCAGTTACCCTATATATCTTTATGGGACGATCTTTTTTTTCTTTTCATAGGCATTTGTGGAACAGATGATTTCTTTAAGTTTATTTAGACTATTTTCAAAAATTCGCCATTGGTGGTTTGAATATATGTATATAAATGTGTGTGGTAAAATTTTGAATGATAGCCAAAAAACAGGAAATTGGCAGAATTCCAAACACCTATAGGCGCGAGAAGATTCAAAAACGAGTTTGTTTTAAAGTGATACTCTTAAAGAAGGATTTCACTCTAATCTTGGAAATGATCTTTTGTGGTCACAAAGAGTTAGCATTTAACTGTAAATTATCGTTTTATCT